CCTCTCGACCCCTCTCTCGCTCTCTCTCTCGACCCCCCCCTCTCTCTCTCTCTCTCGCTCTCTCTCCCTCTCCCTCTCCCTCTCCACCCCCCTCTCTCTCTCTCTCTTTCTCTCTCCCGACCACTCACCCACCTGTGATCTGGCAGAGCCAGGATGAAGACGGTCGCCATGGTGTGGATAGCGATAGGTATCGCCGGCAGACAAAGCAGGCCGTAGCATCTCTTCTGGTACCGACCAAACGGACCAATCAGAGAGAGGATATCATCATACTTCATGACGTCACAGTGGGCGAAGTCCAAGTCATGAACATATATTTATAATCCTTTTAGGTGAACTTTATAATGTTGTTGTTGATGCTGCTGTGGCTACTGCTGCTGTTGTTGTTGTTGTTGCTGTTGTTTTCTCTGCCGCTGCTGCTGTTATTGACTTTGGTATGACTTGATTCCTCCGATTTGATAATCTTACTTACTTTTACTTTTATCCGCAGCTTATACCCTTTTGGATGTCTCTCTGTCGCTAGCCGGAGAGTTGGGTCAGGGGGATAATCACCAAGTGAAAATCAGCACTTCGTCAACTTCACTGTCACAACAGCCCTGTAAAAAAAATGTTATAGAAATACGATCCTCTGCTTCAGGGCGCTCGTAAATTTTTGAGTAAACGTAGTTATTGGCATCGTCTTAAAGCCTGTTTATCTGTCATGATTTCATCAACAACATAAACATCTTTCTTGAATAGAAGTCAAAATATTTGAGACTGAAGGAGGGTGAGTTGATGATGTCAGAAATAAAAACAAACGCAAGAGGGAGAAAAAAATGAGTATAGAAAAGGTTTCGGTCTCCGGAAATATATGGGCTAGTTGCAAAGGTTTTACATAGGCTAAATATCAACATAATTTTAAGATCATATTGTGCGAGCCGCGCGTTTGCCACCCTATGTGTAAATGTCCAGAAGAAGATTGGATGGACTATGCAACATTGAGAAAAGAAACATCTAAATGTCACGTGAGCGCGAGGCCAAGAAGCTAACTTTTACACAACATGATACCTTTCCTTTCACAGTACAGCAAATAAATCAGCCTGTTTTGTAAGGCAGGTTTTCTTTATTTTATTTTTCAGTATCTGAAGAGCGATATAATTAAATACTCTCTGGTCGAACACACATGATTTTGTTTCTTTTGTCAAAAGAGTACAGATTGCCTCGCTGAACCCTTGACATGAATGCATGTAGCGCCGATGTCTGTACTTATCATTGACCAGTTATTGATGAGGATGACAGTTTAAATCATCGGTGAACTATCATAGAGCGCATGGTTGCTTTCTTTAGTTTTGTTGCTCTTGAAAACGCTCTAAAAATGGTTAGTTCTATTTCTTAAACAAAGGTTCCTTTACAACATTCTTTGTTCCTATTCGCCCCGTCGACTGAATTTGATCATTTAGAAGGAAGTAGAAGACGTTTTATTTCGCATCTCAAATATTAGAAGAGTAAGTTATCGTTCAATACACAATCTTTGTTTCGTACTCACCCCTCACTGATTCAGAAGCGGGGTGGGGGGG